AGTGCTACATGTTTTGTGTGAGTGTTTGCTGCATGTGTGTGAGTGTTGCTGCATGTGTGTGAGTGTTGCTTGCATGTGTGTGTGTTGCTGCATGTGTGTGAGTGTTGCTGCATGTGTGTGAGTGTTGCTGCATGTGTGTGGTGTTGCTGCATGTGTGTGTGAGTGTTGCTGCATGTGTGTGAGTGTTGCTGCATGTGTGTGAGTGTTGCTGCATGTGTGTGAGTGTTGCTGCATGTGTGCATGTTGTGTGAGTGTTGCTGCATGTGCATGTGTGTGAGTTGCTTGCTGCATGTGCATGTGTTGAGTGTTTGCTGCATGTGTGTGAGTGTTGCTGCATGTGCATGTGTGTTGCTGCATGTGTGTGAGTGTTGCTGCATGTGTTTTGAGTGTTGCATGTGTGTGAGTGTTGCATGTGTGTGAGTGTTCTATAAAGAGAATTCCATGAAGATCACAAAGTACTTACCATTCTTTAATGATAAAGCAGCAAGAACATTCTGTGCAGTTGAGACAATAATTCTTCGGGCTGGAACACTCGACTCAAAGACAGCATTCTCTACCACACCAACGTACTGCTGGACCCTGCAGACAGTGGTAGATTTGTGCACAAGACATGTAAAACATGAAAAGCAATGCTTTGTTAAATATATTTACACACAGATGGGTCCACAATTGCAAAACCACCAAGGAAGCATGTCGCAGTAGTAATCTAAATGAGTTTTTATGAAAATACCTTTTTTCCAACACTATTAACCCACTTACGACGGGTGTCACACATGAGACACCCGGAAAAATAAACATTACCGGGCGTACCGCTGGTGCGACACTAGATCGGAGCTTGGCGCTCTGATTTTGTCGGCATGTGGGCCGATTTTGAAGCCACCCAGAAAATATTAATTTCAGCTTGAAAATATATTGTCGCTAGTGGGTTAATATCAATGATGTTATCATTATTATCAAATTATATTATTATGGTGCTCTCAAACCTTAGGAAGTGGACAGAATAAATAGATGAAAGAGATAAAGAAAAGGGAAGGGGTAGAAAGGGCCATGTAAAATTAGTTGAAGGCTGAGGCCCGAGGTAGGGGTAATCCCCTACCTTGGGACTTAGTCTCCGTCTCCTAAGCACTCCCACGACAACAATGACCAAGAGATTGGAGGGGTTGGAGGGGATCCTATTAGTAATAATAATGATGATAATCATGACTTTCCATTCTTCAAGAATAATATCTGCAAACAGTGACCATTTTCCATGCTCTGCCTGCATAGGACAGGGGTTCATATTGGAATTCATTTCCTAACTCTTAAACTCCACTCACTATATCCCCGCATAATGTATTCATGGTACTTTTACACATGTAGCCCTGATTGTACATGACAAAATTTAATCAACACACCAAATTGCCATGACTTCTTGTCCTCTACAAAAATATCATCAATTAGTGTCAATGAAGTAAAGACTAATCGACAATCCTTGCTGGCAACTTCCAAGCTAAGCCCTGCCTTTTCACTTTTATTCATTGCAAATATAAAACTTTTTTCTTGGTTTCTTAATCAATATTTTTTATCATTGTTATTGCTGATCAATTTTCAAATAAAATGCACCCTAAAATCTCACACAGACTGAGAGCAAGCAAAGAATAACATCAGATATGTGATTGGGTAAGGGCCCGTTTGCTTGGGGAGAATTTTGATTCATATGGAAATACTTGTGGATTCCTAGGAGTGCCCCTAACGTTGTTACCTAGAGTAATAAGGACTTAGTCTCTCATACTGGAATCAGTGATTCAAGTCTGCCAGATGTATACCAAGACCAAATTTGATATATACCAAGCCATGATTTTATATACTGAATACCTATAACAACAAAATACACTGGTGACATTAACACCGGGATATATATGCCTGCAAACAAAACTTCGAAAGAGCTGTCGGACAAAGATCTCTGGGAGAAAGGGCCTCAATTCTAGGCTGGTTAGTCTCAGAATGGTGCAATCTTTTAATAAACAATTTCTAATTTTTTTCACTTATCCCCTGCCATCGATCATTTGTGATGGATAACAGCAAGCACATATGCTACATTGTCAATACTTACATTTTGTGACCAAGAGCTACACAGATACAGGGAAATGGACATCACCATCTTATAGACCATAAGAAAAAGAATCATAACAAGCACAGGAACAGCTGCTGCAGCTTTATATTTACCATGAAAAGACAAAAATATATACTGCATATCATCACTCAGTGACTAGGCCTGAAGTTCACAACACCCTTACACAGCCAGAGTTGGCATAAACTACTATTCCCCATGTGGCTCCTCTACATGGGGAGCTTCCCCTTCAATTTAGGGAGTAAATAAAAGACTGGAAAGGTTAGGTTGGAATCTAGATTTTCCATGATACCCTGAATCTAACTTTGACCCTGGAGGTTGCATCAATCTTAGTAACAAGCATCTTACTAGGAACCCACAATTGGCCATGGAAAAAAAGAAATTATCCTGCAGAATAGACACTTTTGCATGGTAATTTTTTTAATAGAAGTTTCATAATGTATCACGACGATTTTAATATGAATGGATTCCTCTCACTTTCTTGTATCTAAATATATATCTTGTATCTAAAAATTTATTATGCAGACATCTCCCAAACCCCCAGTTTCTTGACCCCAATACCAGGGGTGGGCATGAAAGGTAACAGGGAAACTGAAGGGTAATATATAAATAACATACATAGAATTAATCACTATAATATCAAATGCAGTACCCTCTGTAATCCCCAATGGGGGCTACCACCCCTCATCCACTACCTAGGAAAACAATGAATCTTCCTATTCACAGCAGGAGAGAGCAACAGGCAGACTCGGCATGAGGCACTCCCACTAATCAGTCATATGCTCTATCCTGACATAAATGCATGGAGGATTCTTAGCGTTCCTGGGTGGGGGTTGGGGGGCGACAGCCACCTATGGGTGGGTTGCAGGGGGCACAGCTCACAGCATTGGACAATATAGTGATTGATTCAGTGTATACAATTTCTGTTAACCTTACAATTTACCCGGTACCTTTCACGTCCTTCCCTGCTATCCCAGGTTGGAAAACATACAAATACTCAAAGTGACACCAATCTTCAACAGTTTTGAGTCGCAGCTATGATCATTTTCTTTCCTGCAGATATTTGAATCCCAACAGAACTAATAAAACAAAACAAAAAAGGAATCAATGCATATTTAATAAGAACATGAATAACAAACACTTAATTATTAAGTCACTTCAGAACATCGTCTTCTGCAGCAATTATTGATATTTTACAACTGCATTCTACATTCTTTGGACAGCTTTTGATTTCTGGTTTCATTTGAGGTAGCTTGTAATTGCTCTTGGATCTCTTGAATGTGGCTGGTATGATTTTGAAGATGAAGCTCAGCAACCTCTTCAACAAGTTGGATTTGGTCCTTCGGTTAAGTTGCTGATGATCAATTGTACTGTCGTGCCTTCAGAACTAATTCTGTATGAAACCCAAATGCGACACAATCAAAACAATAATCAAAACAATCTCTGAACTAAATTCTTGACTCAGAAACAGAAATCTCACATTTATTCTTTTTGCAAAAAAAAAAAAAAAAAAAAAAAAAAAAAAAAAAAGATTCTGATTCCAAAAGTTAAAATAAAGGTTTTCTACCAAAAGAGGTAATTAGCAATTTAACATTTTAGTAAAAAAAATTTCATTAATAGCATAGGGCCTGTGGCTAAAATGGTTGACCGGAATTCTATATAGAACCACCTGACATTTCTTGAATGGACCTTAGAAACACAATACGTGGGATGAGACTTTCTCACAGGGACATTGTTTGGAATCTCCCTGAGTCAAAAGTAAACTCACATTCGTTTATATTACTATTCATTCGTCTGGTGATTACCACAAAATTATTCCATTATTCCATTCAGAAAAGATGAACAATTAAACCAGAATGGCCACTGTAGATATGTGAGGAATCATACATTGTGCATAACCTCTACCATATGATCTAATACAATATGTATACCTTGTATTTCAGTATATCATGTATGTATATATAACTTTGCCAGTTTATGATATAGTTCCTATTTACTGATGTGATCTCCCATATTTATACTTTTACTATGTGTGACATGGCAACATTGACCTTAGCCAAGTGACCTAGCAGAATTGCCTGTGGCTGGGATTTCCCGCCAAATTTCGGTCTCTCGACACTGGTCAAGCCCAGGAGAAAGACATGTGCTCTCACCCAAGTTCTGCAACTCCTTGGAATAGAACCTGCAAAATTCAAGCTTGGTGTTTCCTTTGCCTGCTGACTACAAGGAATGCCCCCACAACTCAAGAAAATATATACAGTCACAACAAAAAAAAATTAACAAAACATGGTCGCTCACTGCTTGCTGCCTGTAGTACCCTGGGTAATTTTCTAGAATACGTCCACTGAACAGATCGCGGTGATTTCAGTATCACTGGATTTCTCTCACAGCCTAGCATACAAATATATAGAAATTATTGTGCGGAAGCCCACCAAACCCCTCATTCTTGGCCCCGATAGCTGCGGAGTGCATGAAAGTTACCAGGGAAATTGCAGGCTAAAATGTAAATGATATATACAGAATACATAGAATCAGTCACTATACTGTTTAATGCAGGGGGCTGTGCCTGTGTATATAATTTACATTTTACCCAGCAACTTTCCCAGTACCTTTCATGCCCTCCCCTCCTATCAAGGCCAAGATTGTTGGGTTGGGGCAGCTTCCGCATAATAAAACTTATATATTTGCATTGTAGATGGTGAGAGGAATCCAACCAAACCGAAAACATTACGATCCATTTGCAGATATATTCTAGAAAATTACCATTCCCTGCTTGCAGGTCTAATACTTTAATGAAAAATTATTGCTGTTGCTTGAACCTTAAACGTCTATTTTCCTGCTGGTTGCACCTCGTACATTGTCACTGCGCACTATGACGTGCCTGTGAAAAATGACACTTTCCAAATAGGCTGTTATCAGGGCCAAGACTGTCTCAAATGGGGGGGTGTCTGCACAATAATCTCTATATATTTGAAAATTTGAGAGTGAGAGGAAACTATTGATGAAATCATTGCAATCCATTACACACTGCTATTCTGAAAAATTACTTTTTGGCTTAGCCTTAGGACAAACTTGAGCTGTAGTCTGGCTAAGCCTAGCATGAGGGTGAAGGGAAGGTAGTACCTATCTGAAAAACAATACAGTAATTGTTGAAGACTGCGACACACCTTCGCAGAGACTAAGTTGAAAAAAATTGATGTTTTTCTGCAGGAAATTCAATTATTTCATTGATTTTCAGCATTGTTTCATCAACGAATGAATTGTTCAGTAGATCAAGTACCATTTCTCCATCGACGATCTTGATTTGATGTTCCCGTTAGCAGGGGAGGGCATGAAGTATATCAGGGAATTTATGGGGTAAAACAGGCTTAAATAAAAATAGAGATAAAAAATACATAAAACTAGCACAAAAAAATGCTTAACCCAATAACAATGGGTGTCCCACATATGAGACACCCCAAAAAATAAACATTGCCAGGCATTGCTAGTGTGACGCTGTATCAGGGCTCGCGCTCCAACACAGCAGCGAGCCGCGGACGGTGGGCAGACTCCAGGGCAGCTCCCCCCACCAATTTTGTAACTACCCAGAATCTTTTATTTTTGGCTTCAAAATATAACGCCGTTAATAGGTTAAAATCGGCCAATGAAACTCTACAGACGTAACCGCCATCTTTGAAATTCTACTGACTGACGCACCAGAAATCAAAATCTCTACGGGAATTACACATTCCAAACCCCCCCAAAAAAACGGATTGACCAATAAGCCAACCTAATATATCAATATAAATTGACATGACAAGGCGTGCCCTTCAGGCACTGCCTGAGGGTAGGGTTGATAGGGGCAAGTCCCCCCAACACCCCTCAAGATACATTCTCTCTACCTCGATATGCATGGCAAGCTACATTCACACATTAAAATAATAAACCAAATACCTTTATATCTGCAACCGTCAAACTTTCCTTCACTTCCTTCTACCGTCTGGATTGCTTCGGTTTTAATAACTTTTTTCTGCATTTGCAGCTCTTGGTGGGCCCACATATTAAACTGGAATTGTTACTGAAGTCTATTTTATCTTCTTTGTAACTGCATAGTCTTAAGAATAACCCAAAATGAACACAACACTGGAAACGCAACATTTCTTACCAGTGTTCCATCTCGAAATGAGCAGGCCGGTTAGCCGAAAGGAAGTGTGAAATGCAGAATGCGCACGAATCTAAATAAGGCTATAAATCAATCTTAAAACACCTATGTGAAGTATAAGGACATTAATGAAACACTTTAAGAGCATGAATGTGTAACATTATACTGATAAGAAGCCAAATATTGTTTTGACATGCACGTAGTAATACTGGAACTACTTAGGGCATCGCATTAAGGAGTTGTGAATTCAGTGTTGTGTTTTTCTTCACAAGGTAAACAAGCTCATCGACTTTGAATTTGAAAGGCAAGCGCGCATTTGATTTTCATCATTTAGCGGTGAATGTAAGGCCTCTGCATCTTATACCATATCCTATCCCAGTCTATTTCTTCCGCTCTATAAGGTGGCGGTGTTCAATTTGCTCTCTCTACGTGCGTCGGTGTCTTCCATCTCTACCAACAATACATATAGAATTTAATGCTCAGTTACCAGGCACTAACTTCCGCCTGTGCCATGGGATTTTACAGCATGCACGCCATGCAACACAGATGGTCATATTGGTGTTATTTACTGACAATGGATTTTCTTTTTCATTTGTTATTTACGTGGCAATTACCCTGTGTAATTACTTATGATTCATACCGTCTTAACACATACATGTGCTAGCTGCAACGAATTAAGAAAAAAGAGAAATAACGAAACCAAAGTTATATTTTTTTTTTTTTTTTTTTACAAATCGGACTCTCCTGATTAATGTTATTGAACCTGAAACTATACTTACCAATCAAACTTTCCTATCTGGTCTTCATAAAGTCCAAGGGCTGGCCCTAGGCACAATAAAGTAAATAAAAAGGGAATCATTGTTATTCTTGCTCTCATTCCTGTCATCGGGAGAGCGTTACCCACGTCCAAATTCAGGGTTGTGAAATGGTTATTCAACTTTTTATATTTTTACTTTATACTTTTTGTAACTGTGAATTTTGTACATTTAACATTTAATTATTTCCTTTTAAGCTTTATTTTTATAATTTTAGTTAGACTTTTGAAATTTATTTGCTCTTCTTTAATTCTTAATTTACATTATGTGACCTGACATATTTTCATGTCGGCTGCTAGCAAAAGCCGATAAATTAGTATAAAGCATATATATATTTCACATTTTTTAATTTTACTTCGTTGTTTGCTCATGTGTGATAAGATTATCTGAGCCCAATGTCATAATATAGGAAATGGCGTGTATCGAATCTCAAAAAATAAAAACAGAAGGGAAACTGAAGAAAACTTGCTCTTTCCTCTTCTTTATTGAGTTGCTAAAAACATAAATTGTCTATGTGTACACAGACAGACCTGATTACGCACATACGCGCATACACATATACAAATACACATGCACACACACCACACACATAATACGCACGCACGCACGCACGCGCGCACACACACACACACACACACACACACACACACACACACACACACACACACACACACACACACACACACACACACACACACACACACACATATATACATATGTATGTGTGTGTATGTATTGCTAGGTGTCGAATTAAGTCTAGTTTAGTTGTCAAAGTCAGATCTCAAAATGCATCAGGGACTAGCCGAAGACTGGCGCAAGAGCTTTCCGAAAGTAGTTGCTTTGTTGCCCAGGTCATGAACGTCAATTGGAGGGGTTGAGGGGGCAGTTCCCCCCAAGATTCTATTTGGCTCCCAAAAGGTCTAGTTTGCCTCCCCCTCCGTTGAAGGGCCAGTAGGATAGTTGTTTATTATTGTTTCTTTTCTTTTTCGCCAATATAGCTCTGGCTATAGCTTAAAATGCTCTAAAAATATCTCAATTTTAAATAAACCCCTAAGAAAAAGCTGAGCTGACGCCCATGGCCCAGGGGATGCTACAATAACTTCCCAGTTAGAGAAGTCCTAACTGGACAATTGACTGACAAAGCTGAGAGGGAGGATCGTAATCTCCAAGATAGGCAGGTTTCAAGCAGACGATCGGTGTGTCATGATATGCTTTGACTTTGCACTCAAGGTATGCCGCTAGGTTCTGAGTGTAAGCTGACCTTAAAAATTGAATGGAGATATCGCAGTTTGGCGAGGTGGTCAACGGCAGTAAGGCCATTCCTAAACAGTATTTCAGCAGGGGAGGCCACGACCTTCTCTGCCCAATATCGAGAACTCAGAGAAGCTGGGCTTTCCAGGTACAGCGGAACATCAGCGCAGTCTTAGAATGTGGTGACTGTTTTCAACCAGGCCGTTCGGTATATATTTGTATGCATTAGTGCAAGGGACATTTGTCTCCATCACTTCAAATAAGGGCGACCACAGGCGGAAGATGGGGATTCTTGTGTACATTTAACAAGAGAAAAAATGCATGAGCCCTTGCTTTTCATGGACTTCTAGGTTTCAGCCTAGTAAGCCTGGGTGGTAGTACTGGAGAGGAGACATCGTTGGCGGATGGACCAAGAATCATTTATTTTAGGGAAAGTGTTAACTAGCAGGCGAAAATGGAATTCAGTGGCGCACTGAAGACAGACAGCGAGTTATTTGCAAGCTATTCTTAAATCAACTAATCAGAAGAACCAAGTGGAAGGGTTTTTCTGGGAATGATAACACAGTGGCTAATACAAGTGAGTTTTTTTGGCATCAGTGGCTCATCATTAGTCGTCTACAATCCAGATGCTTTGGTTTAGCGACAAAAACGTTGTGGAAGGATTCGTTTGTGACGGTTTCTTTATGTGAAGCACTAATGGCAGTTGCCGATGGCGGCGAGTAGTGGAAAGTTTTTCACTGTCTCTTCTTTAGTGGCAGAGACTGAGATGGCTGAGATATTCCAGAGTGGAGACCCTGAGGAGACACCATACTGCAGGCACAGCATGCTCCAGATCTGCTTGTGATTTTTAACAGGATGCTAGGAAGACGAGGATGTCGCACACTTGGCAGGCACAGTAAGAGACTGCTAAGGACACCGTCCATTTGACACTGGAAGGTTGCAACTGAATTTCGGAGGGTGGAAGAAAAGGAGAAGACTATGCTCCTGAGAAAATTGGAAGGATCGTCATTTTGAGTAGAGGGGGTAATAACTTGGTTCACCATGGATGGCATTCAGGTTTGCTCTCGAGATTTGATGCAAGAGAATATGTTTACAAATAAAATATATGAAATGTGTAGTAATGAAGCACAATCTTATCTAATTAAATTAGATTATCATCAGAGGGTCAAAGTCAAAGTTGGTCCCATATACATCTGGACGTAAGGGACATGTTTTGTAGAAAAAAAAAGTTTACTAAGCCGCAGGATGATGCGGTAGGGTGGCCAGTTCCTTTCCGCCCCGACTTTAACCCTTGCATGCTGGCGTCAGCATACCAGTGCTCATTCACAGCTGAGTTGACTGAGAGGGGCAGCCTGGCGCGAACCCAGGATAATGCGATTGCAAGGCCAGCGCTCTACCACTGAGCTATGCCACCTCCATCAAAGGGTATATTACACTACAAATGTTACTTTTAGTTAACAGCATTAACATTCTTCGACGATCTTGGGATTAAATATCATTTTTAGGGCAGTCCTTAAATTTACCAAAGGAAATTATATGATCTATGATCTTTCATGAATATTTGCCCAAGTTACATCAGCTTTCTCGAAGGCTTGCTGGGCTATTTGGAGTTTTTGGAGAGCATCGGCGCCCCATTGGTGCAAGATGCCTTGTTTACCGGCTTGGCGATAGAACAGGTGCAGTGGCTGTCGGTCAATTCTGCTGAAAAGCGGACTGGACCCAAAGGCAGCTGTCGGGAAAGTAGCCACATCCAGAAGCCCAAGAACTACGTTGGCTGAGAGGCTGTGTTGAGCGAGGGGGTGTACCTTGGGTGTGGTTGGTGGGTCTTTGAAAACGCTTGTAGTATGTCTTCATTTGTATATTTTCTACATGTATACATGTACATGCATGCAAGCTTTTGTCAATATGTATGTGTGTGGTGCATGCGTGAATCAGTGAGTCAGGTCTACCGGTCAGAAGAAAATTTTTCAAGATGAGCTTCTAAACTCTTTTAGTAATATCTTTCAAGGTAGAGAAATATTGAATTTCCTTACGAAATTTAATATTCAACAATCATTACAGATAATTTTCAATTCAAAGAATATTTTTGAATGTTATTGAAGAAGTATTGAAGAATAATGCATCTTATTGTCAAGCTTGCCACATGAATGACTCAAGAATGTCAGTGAGAGTATGGTAGTGTTCTCCCCGCCCCCACAGAACGCCCGGCGAAGCGTGCTGTGCCTCATCATCATCATGGAGCTAACGCCGACGGGGGCCCATAGCCACATCCACCCTTCGTTTCTCTCACGGCAAGCCGCCAGGCAGGGACTCGGCCCATCTCAAGCTCCTCATGACAGGTTTGATCGATCTGCCCAAACCACGACTTCCTAGGTCATCCCACAGGCCTCCTCCACCGAGGGTTATCTCGAGCAGAGACAACTTGGTGGGCAGAATCATCCTGAGTGAAGGGAGCCAGGTGGCCGTATAGCCTGAGTTGGCGATCATGGATTGTGCAGGAAATAGGTCCTGTGCCAGTCTCACGGTGCAACCATTGGTTTGACACGTGGTCCCGCCAACAATACCCCATGATCCGGCGCAAGGACCGATTGCAAAAGGCATCAAAGACGTGATTCCAAGGCACAGGATAATGTCCAGGTTTCACTACCGTATAGCAAAACTGGCATTATTGCTGCGCCTGACCCAGGCGATATCCTAGCAATGCTTTCATAATACCAGATATTACCATGTCTGTGTTTCTTCTTCATACCTGACGCTCATAACGTATTTTTTTCTATTTGATTAAGAGAGTGGTACTGTATTATGTGGCTTTTCATAGGAGAGTGCTAATTTGGCTAATTGATCAACCATGTCACAGCATATTCCTATATGAGAGTGTACCTGTCACAATAATTACAGTTGATTAACGTAACCATATATAGATTAATTAATTTTCCTATATACTGAAGTATGTACTAGTTAATTAGAGGTGATTGCTGAATGGAAGAGTAAAAGTAGTTAAATTCCATTTAACTACTGTGCTCAACACATTTGTGTTTCTTTCCCTTTTTGAAAACCAAAGAAAGATGAATAGATCTGGTCTATAATCTGGTACAGCAAACGAGTAAGATCTTTTCTAGGTTTTAGACAGCCAGGATATCAAATAAATTGGTCTATATTTACCAGGTTGTCCTGGTTTTGGAATGGGAATGATGGGTGGTTATTTCCAAGTAGTAGGCAAGATGCCTGCTGTATAGATTAAGTTAAAGAGAAGTCGAATGATGTCATAAGTGATGCCATCATCCCGGGGCACAGTAACTACCAATACCGCAAATTATCCAAATTTTATGATGGAGCCTAGATTTCAGATTAAGCTGTCATTAACTTATTCATTAACCTTAACATCTGTAATTCAGTAAAATTTTACCAATATACTTGTATTACAATTGTACATAAATTCTTACATGACATACAGGTAATCATTGAATTCCCAACTCCAGTCAATGCCGAAATCATGGCTCTTGTGACAAATTCGTATCATCTGCGGTAATGGTGGTAACCCTGTCCCAGGTGCAGTGGATTTATCAATCTTAATGGTTGTAAGAAATTCATAACTTGTAAATGGTGCACCAGCTTCATCGACGACAATGATAGTGAATTTCGTTTTTTTAATTCAATTTAAAAGAGCAACTGTGTATGAAGAAATGAGTACCAGAAGAGTCCTCACACCATTTGTTAAGAGAAATGAGGCTACCCTTTCTGGGTACGGTTGGGGTGTTTCATGGAGTCGTGAAATCAGTTGATTCTGCCCAAGCATAACATCTTTCCTCTAGTTATCACCTTGCTGATCTTTTAACCATAAA